CAGATTTTCGGATTCCTCTGGTTTTAGCCATTTGAATGCCTTAAAATTTTTTGCCCATTGACCACCATTTTTCTTTTTATAAATCTTTTGCATGTATAATTATAAGCCATTTGTAAAAGTCTTATAAAATCTTATTTATTTTTTAATAGTTTTTGATAACTTTAACTTGTCAATGATAAAGCTATGAAAAATCAAGAGAGAACATTTTCCTGCCAAAATTTCAATGGCTAATATCTCGAAAACAAGCACATTAACCTCTATATATTTTTTGCTTTTTTGATTCCTTAATTAATCCCCTATCAATATATACTAGTTTTATGAAAAGCTATTTATTTTTGAAACTGAGTAGCGGATTTTTTAATTAGTGTGGATATAAACATTGTTTCCTGTCAATTTCAATCTATTTGAAGACAAATTAGTTTCTGAACAATTGTTGAGAAAATATTTCCTCCTCATTTTTTTTTTGTATTTCCTGTAACTAAGGACATTATTTGTATAAATGACTTAGAGGAAGTGATATCAATTATTTATGATTGTATGTTCAAGTGATACGGACATTGTAAACATTTAGGTTAATATTAAATGTGGTTGAGTTGAAATTTGTCATAAGTATACATTCATCGGCAACAAATGGAAACAAAACATTAACATGCATGAGTTAATTAATTAAAAACTTTGCCCTTGATTAATATTAGAAAATTGCTGTCATTCATATTTGAAAATACACATTTTTAATGTTCATACTCATAACAAATGATAAATCGATGATGTACCTTTAGTCCTGACTGTGTATGTATCTGTTGAGGAACTGTTTCCTATTGTATTTCTAGCAAGAATCCTGAATTCATATGCCGTGCTATGATCTAATGATGGAATATAATAACTCACTCTTGATGTCCCAATATTTTCAACTATAAGCCATTTCCAATCTTTATTTTGTTGCTTCCGGTATTCAATGATAAATTCTTGTTGCAAACCACCATCTGATCTTGGTTCCAATACCACGTGTATATAGGTTGCACTTGAATCATATCTCAATACCTTAGGTTTGACTGGTTTCCCTGAACAAGAGAAATATATAAAGCGACTTACATACTTTTAGTTGTAGTCCTTAAAATTTAACAAGACTTGAAGAATAATGCAGTGTTCATAAAATGAACTGACTTTCGAGAATTGTGAATGAATTTGTAAATATCTTAATGGAATGTTGATATGAATGTTAAAACGAAAACACCACAAATATCACAAGGTTTTGTACAAATGAACTTCTGAAAAAGTTATAGAACAGTACCACGGCTGTTGTGAAATTGTGTTTTGTATTTATCACATATACATGTTCCCATACTAGACACGAGAAGAATTATTACATTCAATTTGATATTTCAATAACATGTCTTCTGCAAACTGTTACTTTGTGTACTTGTATGTTAGAAATATCACCCAGAGGAAATAAATTGTACAAAACTGCTACTCAATTCATCAATTTTCTGGACGGTATTGTTTTAGTTGAACCCTTGTTTGTGTAAAGCTATTATTCTTCTCAGTTTCAATGTTAAGATTTCTATGTGATTCATTAATTGATAGAAATAAAGCGGGGAAATGGACGAGTAATTAAAAAACCAAAAATAATTGAATTTAGACTCGTGTTGATGATTTCCTGTCTTTAGTCAAGTCACTAATTGGGTCAATGTGGTTGTTTATATCACCTAAACAGGGTTGCTTCATAATAATGAAATTCTGCACATTAACATAATTAAATCTTACAAATTATATACAGTACATACTTGCAGATCGAATCGAAAAATGGAAAGTATTAAAACAACATTCATTGGATACTGTAACGGAATAGTTTTGAAAGTTCGTTTTCTTTGTTTCTGTGAAAGAAACATTGCAAATATAGCCAGACACGTTAACAGGAACACCATGAAATCGTGTATTCACAGTCGTAGCAGCACATTTTGTTGTTTGAGCACGCCCATTTCCTTCATTCAAGTTTGAGGCGGATAATTCCGATGAGCTCAGAAGGTACAGAGCACTGGGTATGGAGATGTTATGTCCAACATAAACTTGTTGAAGTGGTTTAGCTAACACTGGCTTATCTATAATAAACAGTTAAAAATTTGTTTAAAGATATGAAAAGGAGTTTAATTAGAGTATTATAAAGTTTCATTTCACATTCTGCTAAATCTACAAGAAAGTCCAGAAAAAGACGACTTTTCATATTTTATCATAAATTGTTTTCAATGCACATAAAAAGTAGCCACCTGCCAAGCTGTTTTTTTGCATGTCTGTCATTACAACCCACATCAAAGCGAAACGATAATTAAATGATAATTTGTAGTTAATTTTACCTTATTTGGACCAAAGCGGCTTCATGCTTGATATTCCAGTACTTTACTTTTCAGTGATCATTTTTGCATACCAAGTACAAAATGTATGTTCCTTATCGTGTTTATTGCTAAACTATGGTATGCAATTTTTCAACAACGTAAGAACTACTAAAATGATTTGTAAATTCCATTCACATCTATTCTATTTGCCGTTTTATAAATATATTTTTTTTTAAATTATACATCAATGAGGCAGCAATCCAACCAATAAGTGAACAAAAGTACATTTTGATGGCGTCATAAATAGGGTTTAACAAACTATTCAATATGTCAGGCTCTCAGTTTTTATACTCTTTTAAACTTGTGAATTTTTAACAGAAAAAAATCGGATATCTGAAATTTATGAATCAAGAATGAAGATATTTTGATCGTATGCATACTTCGCAATTACTTAAAAAACGAATATTAAAGTACGGTTAAATCAAAATAGAGTTTTCAATAAAGGTTAAATTGTTTTTCGAAAAAATTAAATGATTTAAAAATAAGTGGCTGTCATTTCATCAAACTGTTATTTAGGTTTTTATGACATGGATAGTGTCATTGTAGCTTGACCTCATTTTGTCATCAGCAAAAAAAGAATTTTTTGAAACGACGTAAAGTGCAATTTTACTAGTCATATCACAGAACAATACTTTGCTCAGCAAACGTCAATATCAAATTTCGGCTTCATTTTGTCATCAGTAACCATATATCAAAATATGAAAAGCCTGAGTCCACCCACACATCATTTAACCCTCAAACAATACCAAAATTTTCGTCAACCACCATTTCACACAAAACTTTTACCTAACTGCCTTACCTTTCACTCCTCTCAAAAAAGGGTTCAAACAATATTTTCATTTTTAAATACTATCTTTCAATATTGCGTATCGATAATGAATAATAAACTTGATAATTACATATGACTGTTTAATGTTGTCAATTAACGGATAATAAACGTTTTTTTCGGTTGTAACTATTTTCATATTACGCTAGTTTATTCTAGAGGATAGAACGTTTACAATTAATATAAAGTAATTCCGATATTTGTATATAACTTTTTGTTATTTTTTTATCTAATTTTCTCACATTAATTAGATTAAAATATCTTCCTTTTTTGTTTCGCGCGCATCAACATGTAAATAATAATAAACAATTTTGCCTTATGTATTGTCGTTTTAAATTAGAATATGGCAGCAACAGGTTTATAGATAAAATATCCATCAACAGAAGCAACGCAATGTTATTCCTTCTACAGCAGCAGTCGCTGCTAACACTAACTCGTCTTTCCATTTCCATTCAACTATCAATTATAAATCGTCGACACTGTAACCCATAACAATTTCTCCTTTTGCTTGCAAATTCAGACTTTTTTATTTACTGAAAAAACTAAAAGAAACTAGGAATAACATTATGTATTACCTTTGATGGTCACATTGACTGTGCCAGTCTGCCAGAGTTGTCCGTTCTTATTTCGAATGTTATTAGTAACATTACAGATGTATAACCCACTGTCGTCATATTGAATGTCACTTGTATTGTTGCATGGTAAGGTAAGGGTCCCGTCGTGATTGCCGTCAAGAAGTCGAACTACATGTCCATTTACAAGTTGTTGCCATTTGTTGAATTTGTATACGTTTGGTACTCCTGAAACCTCACATTTAAGAATTCGGGGTTTGTCTTCATTAGAAAAAGTCTGATCAGTGTTTGTTACAAGCGGGGTTTCTGTAAGATACAATATTATTCTTTGATCTATTTTGACATGCAACACTCTTAGGAGTCTGTATTATCCAGTGCATTATAGGATTATTTGTATATTATTCTAAAGTGCATTTTCACATTACGTTATGCACTAAGACTACCCAGACAACATTGGTACGTTGGCACACCGTTGGCCAAATATATCTACATGCATTGGCCCAACGTTGTTTTTAAACGTTGGCCCAATGTATAAGTGCAAAGTGGCCCTATGTTGGCCCAACGTGATGGCTAAACGTTGTAAGGTTTTATACAATACATTGGCCCAACGTTGGTCCAATGATGGAATAATACTTGCCGATGTTGAACAAACGTTGGGCCAACGTAGTAATACAAACTGTGAACAAACGTTGGCACTCCGTTGGTTCAATCTGTAAATTTTTCTATCCATATGAAGGATACTAAAATCCCTTCCAGGCAACAACTGCAATAATTCCTGGTTCTTATATCAGTTCAAAATGGCGAAAGTATTATTTTTTTTAAATGTTGCAATTATTGCGTTTTACAGATCCACCATACCATGTTGTGTCTTACATACTACCCGAAAATTTTATATTTTGCCATTTTCTCTCCATCTTCCTGAACATGCATGAAATATTTGCCAATGGACGTTTCAGTAACCAACAACCAATCAATCTCTCTCCAGGAATTGTACTTCTGAATGTTATACTTAAATTTGTATGAACTCAATCAAAGTATCCATGTTACCCATTTTTTTTAAATAATGTGAATACAAAGGTATGATTAAATATAATTTATTATTAGCTAGACAACCAGGAAATTTAAAAAAGTCTTTTTTGTATCTATACGTTGCTGAATCAGATCTATAGAATGAAAATTATAACGTGTATTGATGATAAATCATCTATCCCATTTGTATAATATCATTACAGTTTATGTTGCAATATCCAAGCTCTGTTTGAAGGCATTGATAATTTCATTTTATACAGCTATTTTTCTAGTTCTGTATTCCAACATGGTTTTTATTCACAAGAGTGTTCCTTTTGTTTTCTGCTACACTTTGTTTTGTCACTATTTCTGGCTCCGTCTTATGTTAAATCCTTTTAATATCCAGTTTAAAATATCTTCATAAAAGTTATTTCACTACATGTACCTCTGTAATAAAGTAATGAATAAATGAGTACTCAGTGTATGTGTATTTAGAATATGTTAAATCCTCAAAAAAAAATAAACAAAAAGAAACAAAATGCATTGTTTCCGGTGACCTGGCACATTGCAATAGTTAGAAAAAATACTCTTTTTTTGATATTTTCCCTAACCTATACAAGCCAAGGCAAAAGACATATTGCATGCTTTACCATAATGGTTAGACTTCACCTCGCTAGCTAGGACAGTTGAGTGTAGAAATGGAAACAGGAAACTTTGTCAAAAAACGTTCTAAGTAAATAATAAAACTAGTTGAAAAAAAAACACAAAGTCAAATCTAAATACACTAGCATTAACGGTAGTATTAAACATTTTATGCATATATATCTGTGAAATTCGAATCTGATGTAGCATACATGATGGCTATTATGTTAACTTACTTTCTTAAAGTTATTCATTCTGGGCTATCAAATGGTAGAATGCATTTTTTCCCATCTCCATTCCCTTGCATTTTCTAGCCAGGATGTTGTCAATAATTTCTATTATTCCAAGCTCTGTATTATTTCTTTTGCACTCTGATTTATTTTGTCTTCTGTAGTACTCAAATACCTGACCTATAAATTTATATTAAAATGTTAAATTGTATATTAAAAAGAAAAGCTACTTCAAGTAATTCAGACAATAATCTTTATAGTCTTTTTCTTTTATAAATATCCTTATGTGTGGTATAGTCTTTTTTTACATCCCCCCCCCCCCCCCCCCTATTTTTTTTTATATTTTAAGCGTCAGCTTTTTGTGACTAATATTTACTCCTACAAAATATTCAAATATCGGGGTTTTTTTGCAAAAGTTTTGCCGAGGACAAACAACTAAATTCAGTCGAGTCCGTATAATTATATATAAATTACAACATTCTTGCAATGAATTTAATAAATAAATACTCTATTTGATATCTAAAACACTGTTACACATGCAAGTGTGTATGTGATCAGGTTTCACAAATATATAGTATATGTTTGCATGCGATTTAGAAATAATAAAACTAACAAATTCATTTATATTTCTATGAAGTAGAAATCATTATACCACATTTCTGAAACATTACGGAACAAGGTACATCTTAAGACATATTTTTTCCATTAACTTCAGTAATGGTGATAGATGCAATCGTTATAGATTTCAGAAATAAAATATTAAAATATTAGCAATTTACAATTTGTTTGATGATACTAATGTTCAGTGGCAAATATTTCATGATTATTTAGGATTGAAATGGTTTAAACAAAATCTAGAAAATATTTTGCCAGAAACGTATAAACTTCAAGATCAACATTATAAAATGATAGAAATTATATTTTTCAATTTTGAACAACATCCCTCAGATTAAAAAAAAAACATATTGTATGTCATTTACAATCGTATATATAACAGAATTTTTAAAGTTACAACTTACATGTTACTTTCTTTTTCTTTGAACCTCAGATGATATGATTTTCTCTTTTTGTTTTCTTCGTTTTACTGCTTTCTTACAAATACACAACAGGAAATAACCACAAAAGTGACCATCCCATTACATTCAGATATCCTATAAACTTAATTACCATAGCAACTATCTTTGAAATTTGTCTAACATATGGTCAACCTTATCAGAATGTGCTTGGTTAACAGACTTGCTGTATCAAATATCACTCTGTATATAAATGCTAAATTATTATGTTTCACAAAGTTTAATTAATAAAGTTATAATACATAATGATTGCAATAAATTTAAACTTTTAACCAGGCAATCTATGTTTACGATATATTTTTTTTATTACAGTAATGATATTCCAGTATAAATTTTACCTGACTTATATATAGAGTATAATATAGGATCAACGTTGGCCCAGCATTGGCCCAACATAGAGTTGTAAATGTAATTTCAGTTGATGAACAATTCCGGTATAACATTAACTTTTCATAAAGCATGCAGCAATCGAAATTATCCGCCTTCCCAAGAGAAATAAAGCGTAAAATATTTCATAATCAATTTTTATTAACAAAATTTCATATTGGTCCTATGTTGCTACTAACATAATGCCAACGTTGGCCCGATTATTTATAACTAACATGAGATAATAATATGGATTTACAACAGCAGGCCAACGTTGGGCCAATGTTGTTCAGCCAACACCAATGTGCGACCAACGGACCGACAATGTGCCAACGTTGGGGCAATGTTGTGCAGCCAACACCAACGGTCGACCAACGGACGGACAATGTGCCAACGTTGGGCCAATGTTGTGCAGCCAACACCAACATACGACCAACGGACAGACAATTTGCCAATGTTGGCCCAATGTTAGTCTGTTGACTGGGTATAATTCAATATGGTTCAAACGATATGATTGCAGTCAATTCAGTCATAATCAGTATTTTTTCACATAGCTCAGAATGATGTTGTGGTAATCAGGTAGACAACAACTTCTGAACAATCTGAACACCGACAGAACAGATCTTTATTAACTGCAGGCAAATTACCAAAACCTGACTGAATTAACCGCAGTGGATAACTCTAAAAATTGACTTAAAGACTGAAAATGACTGATTAACTTAACAGCCTTTAAAGAGATGTTTCGATAAAAATGAACGTTTCAGAGTAAAATTGTTTACAAGTGTAAACACATCATTTCTGACCAATCAAAATATTTGAAATGAAATGAAATAGTTGAGAACATTTGTATTAAATAATACAATTTTTTCAAAATGTGTTCTGGAAGGTGGAAAATCCATCAAAACCATTTAAACCATTTGGTGTTGACGTGCACTTAAATATTGTAGTATTGTAAAAGTCTTTTTATGTTGTGTTGTGTTGGTACACTTCAATCACAGGTTCAGGAGATGATTGAGGACTTATAAACATTTTACACTCAGCCAGATTATGTTATATATGTCTGTTTGATGTTCTGAATCTGTAATCTAATCGTAACCGTTGGCTAACGTGTTTCATATTTGTTTCTCGTTTATTATGATGAACATGTTATCTATGTTAGAGGTCCAACGTTGATATGAAATACTCAATTCTACTTTCTTTTTGAGTAATTATTAGTAGTAGACGCTAAATCAACCAAAGGGAACAGAAAGAGAGCATTGCCACAATTTACCTAATGTACGGGTATTAAACTAAATGAGTATTTTAAGCGAGGGGATAAGTATAGATTATCGTTATTTTTTTACACATTGATATCGTCAAATATCAGCCGCGAGCCACAATGTGAACCTTTTTTGGCGAGTGAGCACAGCTAATATTTTACGATATCTATACAAAGAAAGCCGATTATCTGTTAATCGTTCTATTTATGGTCGTTTTTCCCTCCCTAAAACAGTTTTACGCTTGACGAAAGTAATCTTGAAAACGTCTCCTCTCACATTGTTACTTTTTCTCAGACATTGTGACTCGATGATAATACCTGCTCTAGTCGCAAAGCCTTGATACGAGAATTACGGAGCGACTAAGCAGGATGAAATTGGCACAGGGAAAGATGATAAGATACATTTTTTTGTAATAGTACCGACGGATGCTCCCGACATATCAATAATACAATGATGATTTCAGTTCAATGATGCATATATCCAGTTTGCCAATAAATATATTTAAATGATTTAAAAAACAGCGTATAGTAATAGATATTAATGGAAATGATATGAACAAAACGTTTTGTTAAAGGCAAAATGCTGGATTTTGTTTTTTTATCTTTTTGACCAATTGACTCATAGGCAATGTTTATTTTCATGTTCGTTAAATGAAGGATACAACAGATACAGTTGAGTCTGCCTCATACATATTATATCTTTGATTACATCTATTCAAGCGAGCGTATATAATCTATATTAATCTATATCAGACCTATCCCGTCTACGCTTAATTTTAAATTGTGTTCTAAAATTTACTATTCTTTCAAATTAACATTGATGAACCATCCCTTCCTCTTCCTTATTACTATATTGGTAAATTATTTATACATTATCAAACAAAATTACAATGTGAACTCGATATTAAGATGTGCGTAGAAGATTAAATTACTATTCTTTCAAATTAACATTGATGAACCATCCCTTCCTCTTCCTTATTACTATATTGGTAAATTATTTATACATTATCAAACAAAATTACAATGTGAACTCGATATTCAGATGTGCGTAGAAGATTAAATTATGATGAACCATCCCTTCCTCTTCCTTATTACTATATTGGTAAATTATTTATACATTATCAAACAAAATTACAATGTGAACTCGATATTCAGATGTGCGTAGAAGATTAAATTATGATATTCGAATAATAACCTAAAAAGAACTGATCAGAAATAAAAGTTTGTCAGCTACATGATAAATAGTACAGGATTCGTCGAAATTGAATTTAATTAAAACAACAAATCACTAAATTATTGATTATAGCATGCATAATATCTCTCAAAAGTTTAGAATCCTAAACTCTTGTGGGTTCATTACAGTATCAAAACAAGTTTTTTTAAGCTACTTACTTCGAAGTTGAATATTTGTAATATGGCTCTTCTTTCCATAGATGTTTTCATCAGGATGAGAACATTTGTACATTCCAATATCTTCTTTCTTAAACGTGGATATTCGGAGTGAGCAGTTTGAACTGACGTGTAGTCTGTTAGATATATCTGATTTCATATTGATTTTGTTTTTTCCATCGCAAAAAGCTAAAATACTGTCGGTTTTCAAAAACGTCCATGAAAATACTTTGTGACTTGGACATGTAATTTTAATGTCGTCTCCAACATTTGCATATAAGATGTTAGAGCTATGCACAATAATGAAGCCTACAAAAGAGATATGTTGCGTAAGAAAACACTTTTCGAAAAAAACATGTATCGGTCAATATACTGATTTCAGAGGAATCATGTATAGTTTACAGTATACTTTTTCGATGAACTGACTTATGAGTAAAGCAGAATATGTTTAACGTTGTTCATTCTTCGAAAGAATAAACTAATTTAAATATTTGATTCAGTATTATGATAATTATTACTTTTAAAATTTTTTTTCACTTCTTCTATATTTGACATTTTCAAAATAAGCATTTAATTAATAAACCAAAAGACCACTTTCGAGTTTGATGCATTTTCGTTAAAACTTTAGTTTAAGTAAACACCATTCTTGCTTTTGTAGGCACTGTCACTTTCTTCCCATGTTGAGCAAACGGTGTGAATAACATTACGGATATTCCAAGATACTGTGTTTCTCAATGTAACGTTTCAATAAGTCTTAGTCCGTGACATGTTTCAAACCATCTGTTAAGTCTTCAGAGGTGCAAACTAAGCAAATGTAAATATTTAACATAGTTCACGTCAAATATGCTTCAGACCTTCACACTTTGGTCAAGTGACATAACCTTTAAGTTTAAGTGCATGCAGACGACGTGTTGATGATCCCAATATCGAATGTATTTCTGAAATTGCAATGTAAGAATCGGAAAATACTAGATTGATGATACTAGTTAACATAGGATTTATCACAAGATTTTGATTGTTTCAGTTGATCATTTTATCATGAAATGCTGACTTCTCCACTTTTATAAAAAAAAATGCATGATGAACATGCACCACAATATCATGAATATGCGAAGAATGCTTGCATTTTTGTGTTCACTTTTTGTGCACGAATTGATTAAGTATACTGCAGTAGAAAAACGATATGGTCAAATTTATGTACGAGTTCCCGGACTAAACAGTATATGAATACAAGAGAGCGTCACATGTGTACATACCTTCTAGAAGACAAACTAACATAAGCTGCAATTTTGTTGCACGATTAAGAAATTTGGACATGTCTGAAATCAAAAATATTTCAACAAATTAATTGGTCATTTCAAATTAATAACTTGGTTTATTTCATGATAGATGCACATGGTTATTTAAAATCATGTACTTCCACTTTTCAGGTTCTACTAAGAAATGAATATAACTCATAAAAAATGACGAGAGTTCAAAGCACTTTTCTAAATCTATCTGTGTTCAAGAATGCTCAAACTAAAACAATTGAAAGCCAGGAATTTATAAGATAGTTTTTGGATGACTAATGCCAGTACACATATGTTAGAACACTCATGAGGCAACATAATTTTTAAACGAAAATAAGGAGACCAATATTAAACATTCAATATGCACCAACTTATAATAAATTCAGAAACAAAATGATTTGTTTTTCTTGGATACACTGACATAAGACCTTCATTGTATCTACTTGCGCACACTTATAATGCGGATTTATTTTGGGTATACGCATTTTTACCACAATTTCAGAATATTGGCGATTCCTACCTAAACACAGGGAAAGCGTTGATTGATTGGATGATCTCTTATGCATAAATAATAGTACATGAAAGATAAAACAGAAAATGCTCGTTATGATGATTGTGATGATGATGATCGATTGATATTTAACCTCTAGTGGCAATCCTTACATGAGCGTCAGTGCGGGAATCTATTAATTTGATAAATATGAATCGTGGTACTATCTCGACAAGCTGAGTATTAAGGTGCTAGCTCATAGAGAAACAGTACGTGTTATTCTAATCGGTCATATTATTTCGATTTCGAAGCGACCTGTTTAACATCTATGTCTCCTTCGTCTCTAACTGCAATA